GTTCAAAAAAACCTGCGCGCGCTCTTGCGAATTCTTCGGACACCCCTCGGGTTGTTTTCCAACGCTGTCGTCACATGCTGCCAAACGGGCCTCTCGCGCCGCATGCCGAACTCATCAGAGCGTCCTTGCGCGCGTGCGGGGGGCTCGATCCGTTTCAAATCGTACCACGAGGGCCATTCGGGCGCGTCGGCCGCGCGCGCATGTTGAACTCCTTCCAAAATTTTCATCACCGACGCGAGGACCTCGTCACCGTTATCGGCGGGCGTGATCAACATCGACGCCGTCATTGGCCTTGCCAGCGTCATCGCCACCATCGGCACCATCATCGCTAGTCTCATCATCGCGTCTACCGATGCTGGTGTCGCCATGATACCGCGCCCGCCCACGTCACCGATTCTCATTGAAGTGCCCACAGGGAAGTGCCCAGCGGTCGGCGCCCCCGCGGCTGCGTCGGTTGCGCCGCACTAGCTGGGTGCTGCACGCGCGAGCATGCGTTGTTAGCGCGGCCGCAGAGATGCACCAGCCAACGCCAAGATCGCTTTCGCATGGGTCTTGCAAACCAGGTTGCGGGTGGGTGGGTGTGATGATTGCGCGAGCATTGGAGTTGACAATTCATTGCGAGCATGGGTGAATCGCATCACCTAGATTGATTGTACTGCCTGGGTTGCACCGCGTAGATTTTAGGACGTCACTGCTAGGGGGCCGCGTTGGCGAACATTTTTATGTTCCAGGAGCATGGCTGTTGTTCCGGGAACTTTGTTCTTCTAGAACTATTTCGCGGTAGGCCTACCAAAATGCTGGGTCGGTCGGTCTTTGCCCAAATTTTGGCGAGAATGTCCAGACAGATCTTGTGCCACGCGGGCCCGAGAAGGGGTGCCCGGCAAGGGGCGTTCATACCGCCATCCCAGCGGGAACCTGACAGAAAGATGTGATGTCCGTCTCCCCCCCCTCTTTCTCCTCTCTCCCCGTCCTCGTCCTCATCCTTCCTCCCTCCTTCCTCCCACCTCCACCCTCTCCCCCTCCCCCCCAGTTCGGCTCTTGCGGCAATAGCTTCGCTGCGTGTGCACAGGACATGGGAGCATGTAAGACAAAAGAGAACACTAAGGGGAACCACAATAATGTGCGCCAGGAGGGGGAGGAACCCGCCCTCCCCCAGGACAATCGCAAGGCCGGACGTAATTGTTGTTTTTCAAGTTGTCTCATCATGAAGCATACAAGTATGCCCTTCCTTCCTCCTTCCCCCTCCTACTTCCCGTTCCCCTCCTTCTCTTCCTCGTCGGTTCGTTCCAGCACATGCGGCCCGAGTCCCATCCGTAGCACTTGGCTTTGCGATGGGCCCCAGGCCGGGTCCAGTGCCTTCACGTGGCGCTTGAGGGGCTTCGATTCTTGTCGAGGCTTTGTTTGTGCAGCAGCTGTCGCGTGGCGAGATATGACGTTTTCGTCGAGTACGGTTCTCGTGTTGTTGGACGTGGTATGGAGTTGTATGTATTGCGCTCGAGGGGTACCCATAGGCCCATAGGGTCTGAAGCGCGTGCCTATGCTTCCACGCCTCATCCAGTACCACTTCAGATCAACCATGGTCATCCGCGTGGTGGTACTCTTGTTTTCGTGTCCGAACCACCCGTGGCCAGTGTTTTTGACACATCTGCCGTGCTGATCGAGGTGTTTAGTACTTGTTGATGTGTTTGGTATGTGTTGATATTTCAAGTTGTTGCTCGCTGGCGGGGGGCGTTTATTTTGTGTCCCCCACGGGAGACTTACCCCACGTGCGGAAGAGCGCCAAGGAACATGAGGTGCGGCCACTAAGGTGAAGAGCGCGCCCTAAGTCTTAAGTCGATGCTGTTTCCAAGTGGCGGGCCGTGGCGCTTAACACTGTCTGTCGCTTGGTGGTGGCTTCCAGGTATACGGCGCGCTGCTTGCATTATTTCTTGGTGGGGCCGTCATATCTCACATTCGCAATTCTGGGCGGTTGTGTTCGCCAGCTGTGATAGTTCGTGGAGTTTGTCTGCTTGTGCGTGCGCGTGCTCATCCTTGTCGTCTTGTTGTTCCGGGAGCTGAAATAGCGCGTGCTGTAGTATCATCCGATTTGGTCTGGGTCCCGTAGTTCCGTCGTCCGTTCGGCTTGGCTCTTAAATGCGACAGCCTGCGCCCACGCCCGAGGAACATGGCAGGGAAGTAGGGGGAATCATTTGCGCAAGTGTCACGAGGGATGGCACGAGGAACGCGTATCCTTTCATACGGATACCTCCGCTAGGCCTTTGGCCTCTTGGCGAAGGGGCTCGAGCCCTTGGCCCGCGCTCTCGCGGTCGTTTTCTCGGCCGCTGCCCATGATCGGCCCAGGCCAAGGCGCGCGCGCGGGCGCGCTCTCCACAAAGTGTGGGGCACTTCCGTCGAGCACTTGACGGATTTGGGTCAGGAGCGGCTGCTTAGCGTGTCGCTCCGCTGTATCGGGCCCACCACGCCTCGGCACGACACGCTGGCCGCTTCCCCGTTTTCAAGCGTCAGCGTGCTCAGCCGCTCCTCGCCCACCGCTCCGCGGAGCGGGCGCTTTCCGCTCGCAGGGCACAGCGTGTCGCTGGGGCCGCCGCCGCGACACGCTGGGCACCAGCTCCCGACGGCACGTGCCAGGGCGTCCGAGGCGGCTCAGCACTCTCCGGGGGTTCGCGGCGCACTGGGCACCGCCGTTTGCGATGTTCCCGCCCCGCTGGCCGCTCCGAGGGGCAGAGTGTGCCCGGCGGCCTACCGGAGAAAGAGCAGGGGTGCTGCTTCCACGCGGAATCGGCGCGTGCCGTCGCCGGGCGAGTCGGCCCTGGCTGCATGTTTTGGGGTACTTCCCCCGATCCGTGGGTCTGGCGCCCACGAGCCGTACCCACGGATCCGCAATTCGTGTCAACGTGTGCCCGGCTTCTGGAGGTCGCAGGGGCGGGGTAGGACGGGACAGGCCACCGACGGGACAGACGAGGCACGTCTTGTGCTGTTGGAGCATGCTGTCCTTGCCCATCGCCTGGGGTGAGGGCATACACAAACATCGAAGGGAGCGCTTGACGCGGTATATTTGCCAATTTCAGTGCAAGTCTTGCTTGTTGCGATTTCTCCAGGCATTCCGGTGCCGTTTGGCTTGGCGTCGTGGTTGTGACCTTTTCGTTTCATGGTCGACGATGTTCCCGTCGGAGACGATGGCATAGCTTAAATCTGGTTCTGAGCGCAGTTCCACTGCCCTCCTGCCCCCTTCTGCTCATGCTCCTCCTCCCCTTCTTCTCCCTCCTTTTCCTGCGGCTGCCATTTGTGGACCAGAGTCGGTGACTCTGAGGGGCAGTGTGTCGCATCCTGCCGCGGAGTGACCAACCGAGTTGGTCGCGGTCTTCCCCTTCCTCCTTATCCTCTGCTCCCTCCTTGGAGTCTTGGTGTCAGCTCGTTGGTCGCTCTGCCTGGTCCCAGCTGCGACCGCTCAGATTGCCACTGAGTTCTTCCCATCACGATGCGATGCTTTGCTGCACGTGTCTCGTCGTGCTCGTTTGTCCGTGTACCGCGCGTGTGGGATGTGGCCCCCCCTGAGGGGCAGTGGATCTCTCGGTGAGCTGCTCCTGATTGTCTTGTGGAACGAATGCCGAAGGGAGCATTCGGGGGCAACGCAACGGGAGACCAGGCTCATTGGGGGGACGCATCGACCCTCAACAGCGCATTCCTCCCCTGCTGCTTGCTCGCCCAGCCTGCCCAGGAACGTCCGGCTTCGCTATCGAGAGCCAATCGCCGATCCATCGGTGATGCATCTCCGATTTCAGGTCGATGTTTTCCCCCGTGAGCCAATCCCCGCCGATCGTTCCCCCTCAAGCAGGAGGTCACAGAAGTTCATCATCCAACTCAACCGTGAAGGTGGGAGAGTACCTCGCGAGCTTCCCGGGTTAGGGGTTTTCCAGCAGTGGGCGTGGAGGGGGAGGGGGTAGACGTCAATTCGGGGCGTGCACCAGCCCCCCTCCGCATTCCTTCCCCCCCGGGTCCCGGAGCCAAAGTTCGCCAGCACAGCGTCTCCTGGCAGGGGCCAAGTCGATCCCCTTCCCCAATCCAATGCCACCCCTTCCTCCTCCTTCCTGAGTGGCGCGCGCTGAGGGAATGGGAGGAGGCCAGATGAACGACGAAGGAGGAAGAGGATCAGGAATAAGTGGGGAGAGGGGGAGACGGAGGAGAAGGGTTAGGAGGAGGCGGAGGACTAGGAGGAGGAGGAGGAGGAGGAGAAGGAGAAGGAGGAGTAGGAGGAGGAAGAGGAGGAGGAGGAAGAGGAGAAGGGGTGGATCTGTCGTGAATCACAATTGTGGGGCCTCTTGGATGCCCTCGTCGCCGCTGCTGGTGCCCCCTCGAGATCCTGCTCGTAATGCGCTCCAGGGCAGGTCCAGGGGTCGACTGAGATATTTTGATGGGGGGAGGGGGTCTCTTACAAGCAGAACGATACAGCTTCGGATCGCAGATTTCTGGCATCATGGACATCGCGTCCCGTGCACTCGGCGTTGGCATAGAAGTGGCTTCGACCACAGTCAGCTCAGCAGTACTTCTCATGATCGTGGCGCGCTTCTTCGGACGGAAAGCTCAAGCGGTTTGCAGCCGTGCACCGGAATTCGGTTTCATGCCCAGGTGCGACAGGGAAGCCGTGATCCGAGCCTCCGCCGGCCCAGCTGTGCGGTGCTCAAGACATTCAGCCACGGTCACGGTGTCGTACGTAGCCCCTTCGCGCCCTCAATGCCGATTCTCCCCGACCAGGGCTCGTGTCGACTCCTCCGATCAGATTCGATTCGAGTTCGATGGCTTCCGGTTTCGATTCGATTCGACCTCGGATGTTTTTCCGATTTGGATTCCGATTTCTCTGTGGAGGCCTACTAGCCCGCCGATTTTCGCCGATTCGACTTATCCCGACTCGGCTGCTGATTTCCGCCGATCCGCCTAATTTCGATCGCCGATCCGACTTATACATTCAATTCTGGGCTCTCCTGCCGATCTCCCCTCCCTGCAGCCATTTTGGCCCCAAAAACGCCTCCTCGAGGCGCCCCGTGATCGCGGCACCCAGACCTCCAGCGCCGTGACCTTGCTCACAACGCGTGACATCTCGGAAAACAAGAAGCTGCATGAACTTTCGGGGGTCCGCGTGGATTTCTTGGACCTGCGCTGAGCCCCTGGCGTGCTCCATGCGCCAGGGGGGTCCAGCACAGATCTGGAGAATTTGCGCGGGCATTCGAACGTACATGTCTATGTGGCTTCTTCTTCTTCTTCTGGACTTCGGAGCCTGGTCTGGCCCTTTGGGTGGCCAAGCGGCCGCGGCCCTCGTGCTATGAGGAACATCCTGGAGGCCTCGCTTGGCACGCATCAGTTGTATTACCTAGTCCGCACATCCGCCCCGTCGGGTATGAGACGACGTTCGCGCCGCGAGGTTCCGACGCAAGTCCGATGTACATCCGACGTGCCTCCGACGTACATCCGACGTGATCCCGACGCAAATCTGACGCGGAACGTGAGCCAGGTCTCCGCTTGCCGCTCGAGGCCTCCGGGAGGCTCCCCATAGCTTGTGGACCCTCCTGGGGCGGTTTGCCCCCGCCCGCTGCGGCGCCAGCGCCCGCATGGAGGGCACCAGCCCGCAGCGGGCGCGTGAGCAGCTGGAGCTCCTGGCGCGGGGCCTGGAGCGCCGGCCGCCTGGGCGGCAAGCAGCACGCCTCCTCTTCGCCTTCGCTCGGTCCTCCGCCAGGTGCCCAGGTGTCCGGCGCCTCGAAGTTTTCGAGACGGGGGGTTCCTACAGTTTTCGGCCTCTCGGGGCCCTTGCTGGGCCTCGGAACCGTCCAAAAGCGACTCGGGGTGAAAACGACGTTCACGGGGAAGTGGTCTAGAGGTCGGGGGCCCGTGGTTCGAAAGAGTCGAGGCGCCAGATGTCTGGGAGGGAACCGCGTCCTGAGGACGTTCGTCCCTGTCGGCTTCTTGGGGCCTTCCGCGGGCCCCAGGACTGTGAACAAGCGACTCTCAGGATGGAGAATTGGTCCTGGGGAAGGCCTCGAGGTCCAGGACCCGTTTTTCTCGGGACCCGTCTCTTCATGCCAGACCCTCTTTTCCCTTCCTGATTCCTCCGCCTCCCCCTCTTGTTCTCCCTCCTCCTCCTCCCCGCCCCCCTCCTCCCTTCTATCCAGCCCGTCCCAGCCCCCTCTATCCCCCTTCCCCAACCTCCTCCGGATGCTCCTCGCCCCTTTTCCACTGCCTCTACCCTCCTCCCTCTCACCTTCCTTTTCTGAGAATGCGCGGCCCTTCCTCGTCGCAATGGTTGCATCCGTTTTGAAGTTCTGGTCAGAACGCGCTTTAGGAAAGGTCTGGGGTTCATTTTGAGGGGCCGAGGCAAGGATCATCAGGGAGTTGGGTGCGCAGGATGTGGCCCGCATGGGCGAGAGCTAGATACACAAGTCAATCTAGTCTTATTCGCTCGCTTTCGCACGTCCTTTCTTGGGCATCTGTGGAGCAGTCTTGGAGGTCCCCTGGGTCACGAGGTCACCTGTGGCCGTGTTCGGGCCCTCTTGGGCCGTCTTGAGGCTCTCTTGGGCTGTCTTGGGGTCATCTTGGCCGTCTGGGGGGGGAGCCCTCGAGGGCCTCTTGGGGCCATCTTCGAGGCGGTCGGTCAAAGGAGGGGTACTAGATTTGCGTCCCCCCCTCGGGGGCCGATCCTCGTGAGGGGTGTCAAAAAATGGCCCTCCCAAATGGCAGAAAAAGGAGCCTCCGACACATCGCGACCCCCTCCGAAAAAACCTCAGGGAGGTGGAGGGTTCCCCCTCCCCGAAGGGAAGAGGGAATGTGGAAGAGGAAAGAGACCCTCGTTAGACCACCTGTCGCCCAAAGGGCTGGTGAGATTCGATGGCTGTCTTTGGGCCATCTTGAACGCTCTCCTCCTCGCTCCTCCTTCTCCCCCTCCTCCTTCTCCTCCTCCTCCTCCTTCTCCTCCTCCTCCTCCCTTCTCCCCATTCGCCTTCCTTCCCGCAGCAGCCAGAATCGAGACCGCCCCCGTCCGTCCCTCCCGCCGCTCTTCGCGACCGCTCTCTGGGTCGTCGATCTGCTGGAAACTCTGCAGCGTCCCTCCCGCACTCCTTATGGGGCAGCGAGTCCCTTGGCCTCTGGCCGCGGCCGCCCCCCCCGAGGCCGTCCCACAACAACCGCCCGGGCAGCGCAGCAAGGGGCGCCTGGACGACGAGCAACTCCGCGGCGCCGGTCCGCGAGGCCATCCCCGAGCTGGACTCGATGCCCGGGAGCTCGGAGGCGAGGCTGCGCTCCAAGCTGGCGGTGCTGGCGGGGCCCGACGTGCCGCGTCGGCGCGCGACCCTGGAAGGCGGGGCGCGGCCCGCCAGCGCGGCCTCGCTGCACCGACGGGTGTCAGCGCCGCCGCTGGCCGCCGCGCCCGCGCTGCCGCCGGCGGCCGTGGCTGCGCCCGCGCCGCAGCTGGTCATGAGGGCTGCGCCGCCGCTGCTGGCAGAGGGCGCCGGCGGAGATGCCGAGACCCGGCTCTCGCCGCTGCCGGAGAGGGCCGCGTTGCGGGTCTCGGACGATCTCAGGCAGCAGGGCAGGGCGCCCGTGCCGGAGGCCGCGAGGGCCTCTCGCGAGGCCAGCGGCCTCAGCCTGGACGGCCTCGGCGACGAGATCAGGGCCGTGCACGCGGAGCTCAGGGCCGTGAGGGTCAGCGTCGCCGAGCTCGCGCGGGCCCAGGCGGCAGCTGCCGCGGGCGGGCCCAGCACCCTGGCCAGAGTAGAGGAGGCGAACAGGAGGTTTTCAGGACTCCCACATGGGGTCCGAGCAGATGGGGTCAGAGGATCGCGCCGCATCGCCGATGCATCGGCGATGCGGCGCGATCCTCCGACCATCTACTCGGACCCCATTCGGGAGGCCTCAAAGGTTGGCGGAGGACTTCTCGGCCATGAGCAGGCAGATCACTCAAGAGCTGTCCCCCGTGCTCGAGGCAGGGCCCCAGCAGGCGGCGGACCTCTCGCTTGTGTTGCAGGGGGTGCGCGCGCAGGCGGGCGTGTTGCAGGAGGTGCGCGTTAGGGTGTGCGAGGAGCCGCCCGGCGCCCTGGCAGGGAGCGCGTCTAGCGACGTGGCGCCTGTGCTGGAGGCGTTGCGGGCTCAGGCTGGTCTGCTGCAGGAGGTGCTTCAGAGCGTGGCAGACCTCTCCGGATTCACGAAGCAGCTGCGGGAGGGCCAAGCCAGCTTGGACTTGTCGCCCGTGCTTGAGGCAGTGCGGGCCCAAGCAGGTGTGCTAAAGGAGGTACGCCAGAGTCTGAGCGAGAACCCTGCGGGCGCCTCGGACTCACGAGACATTCGCGAGGCCTTGGCAGGTTTATCGGACATTGTGCAGCAGCTCAGAGAAGACAAGGCGGCCGCGGACCTGTCCCAAGTGCTACAGGAGGTGCGCTCAGTGAAGCAGCTGCAAGAGGGCCAACCCAGTGTAGACTTGTCGCCCGTCCTTGATGCAGTGCGGGCCCAGGCAGGTGTACTACAAGAGGCCTACCAGAGGCTGAGCGAGAAGCCAGCGGACGCATCGAACGCGCCAGGGATTCGCGAAGCCGTGGAAGGTGTATCGGAGATTGTGAAGCAACTCCGAGACGGCCAGGCGGCCGTGGATCTGTCCCCTGTCCTTGAGGAGGTGCGCTCGTTGAAGCAGCTGCGAGAGGGCCAAGCCAGCTTGGACCTGTCGCCCGTGCTTGAGGCAGTGCGGGCCCAAGCAGGTGTGCTACAGGAGGTACAGCAGAGTCTGAGCGAGAAGCCGGCGGGCGCCCTGGACGCGCCAGACATTCGCGAGGCCGTGGCAGGTTTGTCGGAGATTCTGAACCAGCTTCGGGAAGGCCAGTCGGCCGTGGACCTGTCCCTCGTCCTGGAAGAGGTGCGCTCGCTGAAGCAGTTGCGGGAAGGCCAACCCAGCTTGGACTTGTCGCCCGTGCTGGAAGCGATGCAGGCCCAGACAGGTGTTATTCAGGAGGTCCGCCAGAGGCTGAGCGAGAAACCTGCGGGCGCCTCGCACGAGCCCGACTTTCGCGAGGCCTTCGCAGGTTTATCGGGGATTGTGAAGCAGCTTCGAGAAGACAAGGCGGCCGTGGACCTGTCCCCAGTGCTGGAAGAGGTGCGCTCGCTGAAGCAACTCCGAGACGGCCAGGCGGCCGTGGATCTGTCCCCTGTCCTTGAGGAGGTGCGCTCGTTGAAGCAGCTGCGAGAGGGCCAAGCCAGCTTGGACCTGTCGCCCGTGCTTGAGGCAGTGCGGGCCCAGACAGGCGTGCTACAGGAGGTACAGCAGAGTCTGAGCGAGAAGCCCGCGGGCGCCCCGGACGCGCCAGACATTCGCGAGGCCGTGGCAGGTTTGTCGGAGATTCTGAACCAGCTTCGGGAAGGCCAGTCGGCCGTGGACCTGTCCCTCGTCCTGGAAGAGGTGCGCTCGCTGAAGCAGTTGCGGGAAGGCCAACCCAGCTTGGACTTGTCGCCCGTGCTGGAAGCGATGCAGGCCCAGACAGGTGTTATTCAGGAGGTCCGCCAGAGGCTGAGCGAGAAACCTGCGGGCGCCTCGCACGAGCCCGACTTTCGCGAGGCCTTCGCAGGTTTATCGGGGATTGTGAAGCAGCTTCGAGAAGACAAGGCGGCCGTGGACCTGTCCCCAGTGCTGGAAGAGGTGCGCTCGCTGAAGCAACTCCGAGACGGCCAGGCGGCCGTGGATCTGTCCCCTGTCCTTGAGGAGGTGCGCTCGTTGAAGCAGCTGCGAGAGGGCCAAGCCAGCTTGGACCTGTCGCCCGTGCTTGAGGCAGTGCGGGCCCAGGCAGGCGTGCTACAGGAGGTACGCCAGAGTCTGAGCGAGAAGGCCGCGGGCGCCTCGGACGAGCCAGACATTCGCCAGGTCGTTACACATCTATACAGAAGCGCCGCTGCGCACATCCGCCACCGCTCTCAGAGGACGTTGATCTGGCAATGATGCAGCGATCTGCCGCTGTAGTGGCATCTCACCGCCGCATCCCCTGCCCCCCCCCGCTCGCCATCTGGCATCAGATATACCCCGCAGTTGCGGATGTGTGTGTGTGTGTGTGCGGGGGGCGGCGAGGGTGGGGCACACATCGTGCCCTCCTAAGCCGATGCGAGGGTGGGGCACCCATCGTGCTCTCCGTAGCTGGCGATCGCCGCAGACGCAGACGGGGTGTGCCGCGGATGGGGCGCGGGTGGCGCGGTGGCAGGTCGCAGGCAGGTCGTAGGGCTGTGTGTGTGTGTGTGTGCGTGCGTGTGCGTGCGTGTGTGTGTGTGTGTGTGTGTGCGTGTGCGTGTGCGTGTGTGTCGCTCGCGTGGCGAGGCGACCGCGACAAGATCACAACGCAGCAAGAAACCGCGGCGCGGAACCCACCTCAGCCACGGTGTAAGACTGCTCGGTCCCGCACTCTAATAAGCGTTACGCGGTGGGATGCGTAGACTTGACGATGCTGTCGACAGAGGCTTTGCATACTACGCGCGAGTCTGCTCGGCCGTCTCTGGGGGTGATGTATTGTTGGCCTCTTGTGGGCCTCTTGGGGGCTTCACTATGGCCTCGGAAGGGCTTTGGTGGTCTTGACGCCGTCTTGACAGGTCATGTGGCCGCGAGGCAGAGGTGCTTGGGCTGTCTTAGAGGGTCTTCGGGCAGTCCAGACAGCTCGCTTTGGGCTGGTCTTGCGGCCTTCTTATGGCGGTCTTGGTCCGCGGGGCTGCGTTGTGAACTTCTGGGCCGTCTTGGGATTGTCTCGGAGGCTGCCTGGGGCGGTCCGAAGGCCGTCCGAAAGAATTATCACAGCCCCGATTTGAACTTTTGAGGTTGGAAGGCAAACATGTTGAACCATCGAGCAAATGCTGAGCATGCGGTCAGGGACGTTTGTTTAGCGTGTCGCGCCGCCTGTTCTGGCCCACCGCGTTTCGGCGCGACACGCGAAGTACGTCCCAGCCCCCAAGCATCAACGCCTCGAGCATTTCCCAGCCCCCCGTCCTGCGAAGCGGAGCGACACGCTATCAGTTTGCTAGGTGTAGCGTGTCGCCAGTGCCACCACCGCGACACGGTAATCAGAAGCTCCTGACCGTAGTTATCAGAGTCCAGGTTGGATTTCCCGAGGTGAGAAGGCAAACATGTTGCACATGTTTGTGCCCGGGCAGCGTCGTAGTGTACAGTCAGCACTGATAGTAAGGATGAGCGATGTTCCAAGGGTATCCGTGCATCCCTGCCTCCTCGGTCATCGTCGGTCCATCCTCGACCATTTTTGATGGCCAGCCCCGCCCGAAAAGCTTCCGCGTGAGCGTCCAAGCCCCTTGCATCCCCATCGCGCATCCTTACTATCAGTTTTGACCGCAGGGCTTCCCGGCCCTGTCCCCACTGGGTTGCTCGCTGGTGGGGGCCGCCCCCGTGGCGAGGGTGGTGCTGGCGCAGCGCGGGCGCGGGGCCATCTCCCGCGTGCCCGCTCGAGGACGGTGCCCCCCTCCCTCTCGTTGTCCTTGGGCAAGCCACAGGCACGCGCAGGCGCGGAGGCGCCGGGAGAGGCGCGGTGCTGCGCGCACCATGGCCCGCGCGCGCCCTGCTGGCAGAGAAGCAGTCGAGCAACGCAGGAGCACGGCACGCGGCGGGACGGCGAGAGGGCGAAGCGGCAAGACGAGCAGCACTGCAAGCAGATGAAGGAGCCCCCTGCCTCCTTCCTTCTCCCCTCCGCAGGTGTCGGAGGGTCCCAGGTGAGCACCTGCACCGATCCTGGATCGATGCATCTGCCTTCCAATCCAAGCCAGGAGGGAATCTACGCAGATCATGTGCCTGGGATGGGTCTCTCTTTGTCGCTCCCTGGATCCTGTGAGAGCGGGCCCCCTTTTCCTCCCGCATCTTGCGTTGTACGCATAGAACTTGGAAACATTGATGTTGATATTGGACTGATGGGTCAAAGCCGTACTCTCGCTGCAGCGTTGTCTTCTTTTCAGGGTCGGCGCTATGCCACCGTCGTTTAGAATGACTCTCTCATTTCAGCGCGGGCCACACTTCTGCATCCAAGGCCTTCCTCCTCGTTGCCGCCCCCCCCTTCCTTCCCCTCCTCAGCCTTCCCTTATATTCCCTTTGACCTCTTGCTCCTCCCTTTCTTCTTCTGCTGCTCCTGTTGCTGGTGCTGTTCCTCCTCCTCCTCCTCCTCCTTCTCCTCCTCCTCCTTCTCCTCCTCCTCCTCCCCATCCATCCTCATCCTCGTCCTCCTGCTGATCCTCCTGCTCATCCGCCCCATCCATCTCCACTGTGCACAGCTCCCGTGTCTGATTGCGCATAACACGGCGGGGTTAGTTTGGGGGTCCCAGGACGGCTATGACACCCGCGGGCGGGTAGGGGAAAACGTCAGCGCAAAGGGACGTCAGCGCAAAGGGACGGGGTGTGGCATGGGTACGACGTCAGATATGGCGCGAGCGCACATAGCTTGCACTCCCCCCTCCCATCCCCCCCCCCTGCCCCTCTGCTATCGGTGCTTCACTGGGATGGCTTCTTGGCCTGGCAGAGGCCTCCCGTGTAGTAGGCGCACTCAATAAATCGGCTTGCCAGCAGGTGCCCAACAAACATGTTGTCCCCCCCCGATGGTCCGATGGACCCGCGGAAGCCCCAGGGCACCTGAGGACCCTCGAAAATCGACGGAGAGTGCGCCCCAAGATTTGTTACAGCAACATGTCTTGACAGGTTGGGGGGGTGAGACCGAAGGGAAACGTGAGGTGCCCCAACCGGGACATCGTTTCGTTTCGTGCGTGGCGCACGTACGGACGAGATGAGGCGAAGCTGCGCGAGATCCTGCTTCAGTAGGGGCCAAATAAGACCAAAATGGGTCGCCCAGGATCGGGCCCGTTGCTCCCGGGTGCTTCCAGGTGGTCCGACAAAGCACAATATGTTGAAAATTGTTGTCTCGATGGTTGTCCCGATTGATGTCCCGATATCTGGTTGTCCGATAGATCCTCGGTGGTTGTCCCGATGGTTGCCTCGATGGTTGTCCTGATAGGTGTTCCTATGTTTGTCCCGTTTTTTTTATTTTATTTTTTTGGTCGGCACAATCCCTATGCCGAAATCACAAGCCACTGCTGACGACCTCTGCGCCGGCCTCAAGCCCGCGCCCAGGCCGGCGACGCCTCGCTGAAGAGGAGGCGCTCCTCCTCTGGGGACAGCGCGGGGAGGCAGGCGTGGACCATGGCCGCTGCCCGGCGCCAGATGGCCACGCCGATGGCCGCCTCGGCCCGGCGCAGCAGCGGCCGGTGGCAGCGCAGCCCGCGGCGCCGCGCGGCCCGCAGCGCCAGCGTCCGGAGCGCCGCCTGCGCCTCCGGGTGGGCGCGGCCGTAGGCGGACCAGACGATCGGCACGTACGTGATGCCCGCCGCCGCCAGCTCCGCGAGGTGGCTGCCGTAGTCGTCGAGCTTGCGGGCGCGCATGGCCTCGCAGCAGTCCTCGCCAGCGCCTTGAGCCTCCGGGCTGCACACGCCAACATCCAGAGCCGCCAGACGACCCACGAGGGCCGCGCTGGTCAGGACATCTGCAGGGCGGAGCAATGGTGCTGACGGTATCAGCCCGGGAGATTCGGCTTCGGCGCCGGGGTCGGCCAGGTGCGCCAGCGCCAAAACGTGGTCGCGAACCTCGTAATGGCCTCGCGTGGCCTCTGGGGTGGCGCACTGAAGAGCGTGGGAGCACGCCCGGTCGAGCGTCCCTGTGCCGCTTCGCGGGCACGGCATCTCGACGTCGATGGCGAGGGCGCCAACCCGCACGCCCGCCGCGGTGAGGTACTCCCCATGCCCGAGGGTCGGGCCGTGCGCCGGATTGAGAGCCCAGAGCCAATTGTGGTTCACGGAAGGGTCCCAGAGCTCCCGCAAGCGGCGGCAATCGACATCGCGGCCAGCCGCGGCGAGGTCGGCAGAGAGGCTGTCGGCCGCGACGCCGTCGGCCACGGCGCACAGGCGAGACTGCAGACGGCCGTCCGGGGCCCGCTCGGGGTCCTCCGCGCCGGCTGGCAGGATGAGGCCGTCCCCGGCCAGCAGCGCGCCCTCCGCGCGGCCCCTTGGGCGTTCGCCGCTCGCGGCCCAGTCGTCGACCGCGGCTTGGGCCTCCTCCGCGGCAGCCGGGGGCAGCCTCGCCTTGAAGGCCTGCAGAGCGGAGGCGGCCTGCGTTTCGAAGCGCTCCATCACAGGGATCCCCTCGAATCCCGCCGCGGCGAGGGCCTCGTGCAAGCTGGCCACGTTCACCCGCGACTCCACGCGGGAAGCGAAGAAGGTTGGCAGGGCCACGTCGCTGGCCCTGCGAAGGCCGAGCCCTCCCTCGCGGACGCCCACAGAACACTGGGCCAACGACGCCTCGTCGAGCGGCCCGCCGAGCAGGCGCGTCGTTGCGCGGCGGAGCATGCCGTCGTAGCGAGCCAGCGCCTCCTCGCTGAGGGTCGGACCAGCTGCGCGGAGCAAATGGACCACCTTGCAGACGTCTGCGCAGCGCCGCATCAGCACGAACTCGGCGGACGTGTCCTCCAGCAGGCCCAGCGCGTCGTGCACGGCCGCAACCTTGTC